ATCTGAGAAAGGGATGGAGAGGATGAGGAGAATATTCCCCACTTACATTGATACACAGACATAGATGGACAGTGAGAGACAACAGGTTTCCTACACATGTGGATAGTTCTGAACCCCTCGCGAGGGACTGGACAAAAGCTACTTGAAAAGCTGGAATGTGGGAACAGAGGGATGAAGTACTCCTGCATAAGATTGCCAAAGGAGGGACCAGGAGAGAGGGAAAGGTAATGGAGGTTGTTCCTGGACAAGGGGCAGGGATGAAAACCACAGTTAAGCCATGCAGAAAGTTGCCACAAGAAGGACTCAACATGTAGTGGATTGGATGAGAGAAAATGACTCAGGGTAAAAAGACAGATGCTAGAATATGCATAAAGGAAAGGCCCTTAAAATCCTGGCTGAATGCATCCATGGCCAAAGCCAAAGGATGTGAAACTGGGGACAAAAAGAGAGGAAGGTTGGAATTCAAATGAGAGACAAATGCACCTAATTGGGAAGTATCCAACTGATAACATAGCAATCAGAATAGTTGGGGGTTGGGAGACCACTCCTTGGGAACAGTCTTGTTAGGACAGGAAAGACAATCCAGTATATGACAAGCCAGCAAATAAATTTGATGTCTGTGAGCCCAGAAGAGGAGATCTAGAGTGTGGGAACATAATGACTGGGATAGAGTACCAAAAGGTTGATATAAAGATCTAACTCCTATTGATGCCAATGGCCCAAGATCTCCTGCATAATTCAGCATGCACCCCATCCTGACAACGAGTAATCTGTGAAGACATGGCCATCCAGACAGGTAGAAGGAATAGGTACCCTCTGCAGTACATGGAAACATGACATTCTAACCCTCTCATGTTATTGATCTGCAAATCATTTGGCATAGACCCCAATATCAGGCAAAGGGGGAATCAAAAACTCAGAACTAGATGCTGTAGTTAGTATGGAAGGCGAGGGATCAACTGACATGGGTGACAATGATAAAACATACCTGTGATATCAAGTCTAAAAATGGTGACTGAGGTCTAGGTGCTTCAACAGGCTGACAACGTGCCTGCACAGCAAAGGAATTGGGGAGGGGGAGCCGTCCAAGTCTGCATCATCCTGATTGAAGTCCTCAGACAGTGGCAGATTTGCTTGTAGAATGGAAGATCCCTTGACCCGCATAAAAAAGGCTATCTTTCGATGAACTACAACTGACACTTCCTCCACCAATAATGCAGCACCTGCAGCCATTGTTGTGGGGTGTTGAATGCCGGTACCATTCGTAGCCAGTATAGTTGTAATAGTAAATTGTGAATTCAAAAATACTGACTGACTACCAGTAATTGAGTGAGAAATAGAATTCACAATCAAATAAAGAAATCAAACTCAATAGTGGATTATAAACTGAATATTTTAAAAATGCACTGAAGAAAAAAAAGTTTGAAATCAAGCACTAGGTCTTAAAACTGTCATTCCAAATTGAGATTTGAAGATTGGGTTCAACTGTATAGAGGGAATCAGCTGCGATAGAAGAGTGTGTCGCACTCCTATTGGTGGAGGGTTGTCACATGTTAAATTGCATGCTTAAAATGTAGCTGAACCAAGTGGTATACACATGAAATTAGGTGAGAGTTCAAGGCTAGTGGCAAGTGAAAATTTGCACACTAGAGGGCAGTCAAATCAAGAATAGCTGTAATTGGAGTGGAGGTAAGTAATTGTATCAGAACCTTTTTTCCCCATGTCATATAACACATTTTGTACAATTAAATATTACTTTATCAAGATTTTCTGTTAAACTTTCACCTAAAGTTGTAAAGCTTAACCAATTTCTAGCCTTCAGAAACTTATTGTTTTGTAACTTAATGAAATGTTTCAAATATATAGTCTAAAAACTTATTTTCCAACAACTTAAATGCCTCTAGAAATTATATAGTTAATGATTTAAATAAGTGTATTTTTTTTTTGTCTAATTTCAAAATTAGGTAACTCAATTTGTACTTTATGATTCTGTCTTGAATAGTAAAATTGAGGGTTAGAAACCTTGAAATGAAGAAAATTATGGAACACTTTAAAATCTTTACATTCATTCACACAATATCAATGTAGTTTATTCTTAGATTTCAGATGCAGTCTTTCAGCATTCCTAAAAAAAGTTATTATTAATTGAGCATAACTATGTTTAATGATGTCTGAAAATTGACTTTTTCTGGGGAAAATCTTAAATGTAATATAAATTTACAACTGAGTAAGATATCAACCACATAACCTACTGTTATGATACAAAGAAACAAATTTAAGAAAACCACCACCCAGTTTTTCCAGACACCCTAGGTAAAAGTCATACATGAGGCTTCTTGATGTGAGAAAAAATTTCAGATATTAAGTGAAATAAAACATCATTATAAGATCACAACAATTTACTGTATAGGTACAATTACAATTTTATTTTTCTGCATTTGGTAGTACTAAATTCATCTATAACAGAGGAATAATCAAATTTTGAAGCCAAATTATGTTCAATACACAGAATAGCCAATGACGGTAACCTCTTTTCACACATAGTCGATCTTAAGTAAATTTTTATTAATTTCAATTTTGAGAAAGATCTTTCTGCTGAAGCAACTGTAACCAGAATTGTTATTATAATTCTTAATGCTACATAAATGTTAGGATAAACTTAAATTAAATTATTATCTATAATATTATTTAGTGAATCACAATTGTCTATATTTGGAGGTACAGTCCTGGTACACACTCTTAGTTCCTCAAATAATTCTTTGGCATTTACATCAGAGTCGGATGACTCAGACAGCATAAGTAGCACTTGTAGTTTTCTACAACACTGTAAAAGTTCTTCATCGAACTTGTTCTTTAAAGATGAAATATTGTAGAGAAAATCAAAATTGGTGTGGTAGGTTTTAACCCCTCAAATCAAGGTTCAGCACTTGCATGAATCATGTCAATGATGACATTAAAATATTCAGTTCTCAAAATGTCTGCAGGGTTAGCACTAGTTTCATATGGACACTTGTAATCAAAATGTATTTTTTCTTACATAGCCTAATTTCTTTAAAATTCCTCGGAATGCCCATTTCATCAGCTATTTCATTGGCAGTCACTATAGCAGAGTCAAACCTGTTTCTTCTATAATCATCTAGCCAGCATAGAAATTCAAAATGTTTCAATGCCGTGTCCAACTGCATGTTACACTATTGCCATACTTTACTAATTAGGTTTATTTTCACTAAAATATCGTACCACAGTACTTAAACAAGTACACACTCCTATGACAAAATTTTTTCTTGTATCAAACTGCATTCACTACAAAATGTTGGATTGCTGCTTATTTCTGACAGTTTTTCTAAGCAATCAGCAATATCTTTTAATTGATATCTGGCAGCCTTCACACTCTCCACATGCATTACCGTCTGGTTTTGGCCAAAAGCTTGACAGTAATATTTACTCTTTCTTTTAACACAATCCACTTTTTGCATGAACCAGAAAATAACGTATACAGCCTCTACAAAACACCAAAATAATCTAGCCTTTGTACAAGACACTGCTGCATCACCAAGCACTAAATTCCAACTGTGACATTCACATATTTTTGTTTTTACCCCACCTTTTTCTCCCCGCATGTTAGCTACATTATCATATCTTTGTCCACGGCAGTTTTTGATGTCCAGTCCTAGGTTGTTGATTTGTGAAAGTAGGCAATTTGTTAATTCTTCAGCTGTAGTTTTTTCTACTGGTAAATTTCCAACAAACTTTTCCTCAATGTCTCCTGACTGTACCTGTACCCTGATGGATAGTAGCCTTGTCAAACATACATACATTAGTCTTGTCAGGAAAAGATACTTGATACCATTATTCACCATTGCTATATTTATCTTAACCCTTTCACTGCATAACAGTGTATAAATGCTCAGTGTTCAGCATGCAAAAGAAAGGAAATTTGAGTCTATGCCTTTAGTGAGAATAGGAGCAGTGATTTTGCTAGGCTAAAAAAAATTCCACCTTTATAGTGGTCTTGTGCAAGGGCCTAGGCCAGTGGTTCCCAGCCTGGGGTCCCCGGACCCCTGGGGGTCTACGTAGGTAATACCATCTCATTAAACAAGTAAGTTTTTTTAATACTGATGTTCTTTTTAATTGCATACTCAGTTATATATGTCTTTTACTTGATAGTGAAAAGTGGGAGAATGAAAAAATTATAAGTTAATAAAAACAGTTTGTTGGGTAGGCGGAATCTTTCAAAAACATGGGGTATGTGGGGAAAAAATGATAATAAAAGGGGTTCTTGGTGAAGAAAATGTTGGGAACCACTGCCCTAGGCAGTTGCCTTACAGTAGAGCTACCTACGATCTAGTACATATGAGGATTTACATAAAGCATATCACAAACTTAGAAGAAAATTGTGTGAATATACAAGTTATGGAAGGGTGAAATTCATGACTATTTCAGTCATTACAAGGATATTGTGAAAATGTAAAGAACGAACAGGACATGAACTTTTATTATTGGAAAGAGATTATAGGAGGTATGGGAGTACACAAAATGGGGCAGGGGAATTTCTTCAGAAGAAAATTTATTTGAATAATCTATTTAAAAAAATGTAATAGAAAATAATACTATTTAAATATAAATGACAAAATTAGGGAAATTAGGTTCATATAAATAAGTCATAATCTGCCAGAGCATTGCATTCAAATGTCAAGGCAAATGGCATGAGCTCTGCAATAGCTTGCCCCCACTTGGAATAAATTATGTGGATACTCATGATAGGAGGGCTACTACACTGATAGCAGGGATGGAAGGGTTATCTTACAGAGATAGATTAACTTAGATAGATTAATCTTTTAACTTATTTTCTCATATATTCTAGGTAATATCTTACATACAGGGAAAATATAAACCTATTTCCATTTAATGATGCATCTTTACAATATTCTTTTGTATTATGTAGTATATTTAGAATAAATGGATACAAGTCTAAGAATTTATGATCAGTTAATACTTACAAAAGCTTCTCATGCTCCATGTTAGAAAGAGTGGAGCATCTATTATTTCTGGATCTTTATTTACTTCTTCAGAAACATTTTTATGTGTACTCTTCTGCATTTCTGTTAACCTACATAAATTTTCCAACTGACGAGTAATCTTTTCTAGTTTGGAGACAGTCTCCTTCTGAAATAGATAAAATAAAAGAAAGAAGTATGTAATGAACCGCACATCAAAACATAATATCACTATATTCTATTTTACAACTCTTACCATTTGTTGGTGTGTTTGTAGTAAAAGGTCACAGAGGTCTTCGAGGCCAACAGGAAAATCTCCAGCTCCTTCAGAACTGGTTACATATGTATTGTGGGTATCTATATACCTTTCACCTTCACTGGATAAAAGAAAGAAAAAAGGACATACTAAATAAAATACACTATATGCATAATTTTCGAAAATACTTCTGCATTGGAATCATTGGAATATGTTGTTAGTCATATATGGTTAAGTTTGAAACTCATTAGTATTTCATTAAAGTTATGCTCATGTCATAAAGTTTAGTGCAACTGCTTCTTGCCAGGTAGCAATGCCGACAGAGTGACTATCTTTGATATAATATTTTCTATCTTTTACATGTGGAAATTCATTTTTCCTGTTGTGTTAATTTAAGTTTTCTATCTCTTACTAGTGTGATTTTGAGTTTTAAAATCTCACTTGAACAAAAGTCTATTCAATACTTTACCCCATTTGTTCTTGTTAACAAAGAACAGATCCTATATACAACATAAATGAAATACTGTTTCAAGCTAAAAATAAAGATGTAAATGTAAATAAAATGTTATAGGGCATTCTAAAAAATGTCATTGTCTGTCACCACAAAAAAATATCCTCCTCTCAGTAGGATCCTGGAATTGACCATCTCAGAAATGTTTAAAAAGTACATACGGTACAGGGTTGAGTATAGTATACAAAAACAATTTTTAATAAGCAAATAAGCAAGTCGTGTGACAAACACAGATGATATATATATATATATATATATATATATTTATTATTTTTATTATATTAATCTTCCAGCTGTGCCTGGCTAACAACACAGAAATTACAATGACACAGCACACATGCTCTCATGTTACCGTATCCAATAATATAAAACTGACCTTTAGTCTTTACAAAGTGACCTATCTTGGCTGTGTTTTAGTAGACTAGTATTTTGTAAAATACAGTGACATTTCCATTATTATATATATGTATATAGATTATTACTATTTAGAAATAAATTCTTAAACTTATTTTTCTTAAAAAACAGAACAGTAAATAAAGAAGTAAAGCAAATAATTATCTCTTCTAGTTACCACCTTTATATTTGGTTGCTACTTGACGGAGGTTGCTAAGCCTTTTGAAATTTCGCATGTTGAGAAAATAAATTAAATAATTTTTTTAGGTTTTATATATATATATATCTATATATAATGTGAGATAAAAGTATTGGGGTGGTCCACACACCAATGTCCTCCAGTGGACAATTCAACTGGGTCACTAAGCCATAGAAAAGTGACAAATCTGATTAGACGTGACTCACAGAAGATTCCTCACCTTCAAAGAGAGGCCAGAATAAAATGTTGTTGTCTAGCATCTCTAAAGGCATTAGTACAGGCAACAAAACCTTCAAGACACTCACTGAAAGTGATCACGATCGAAATCTGATCGGACACAGAAGTGAGAAATAGTGATCATATGAATAGGTGAAAAGGATTTAACCTCTTCCCTGTCTGATGGTGTCTTGGGTAAAAAGTACTAGTCTGAGGATGTAGAGAGAATAAGAAAGTGGTCTGTGGACAAACAGTGCAAATCAATCCGACCTATGATGTCTAAGTCAGCAGCCACGAAAAATAAAACTTCAGGTAAAGGGGATACATGGCATATAAGAATCAGATCATGAACAGGTGTTGAGAAAGAACATGTAATGTAACCTTAATATGCCTGTTAGGTAACTGGAATGGTAATTTAGGACCAAGGACACAAAACAACTTGAGGAATTGGGAGAGTACTGGGGTCTCAAAGAATATGTAGTCGCAGTCACAAGAGTTTAATGGTAGTCGATAAGGACCCCTTAAATAGGGTGACTGTGGAAAATGCAAAAACCCCTGATAAAGAGCCTGGTCAAAAATTGAGTTATGACTGGTATTTCTGATCAAAGTGGGTTCAACCTCCTCTCAATAAACCATTTCTGATATGTGTGTGTCATTTCCATTGATAAATGTTTATCTCTGGACTAAGCAAAAATTGAGACAGATACATGACAACCTTAGAAATTAAACCCCGATGCTGTGCGAAAGACTGCATAACCTCTATGCCTGAAGCTTGAGCTTCTGGATAGCCGGGTGTACTATGTCAGATCATGACTGCCTCCACACAGACAGCCAAAGAATAGGTGGACACTCCGGAAGGTACCACAGAAGCAGAAACCAGGGTGTAGCAGCTAATCTGGTGCTATCAACAGTACCCAACAAATCATGTTTAGTACCCTGGATAACAAATGAATTGGAGGGAAGGCCTAGAGTTGTAATCCCGTCTTGTCCTGACGGAATGCACCATTGCCAAAGCCCAAAGGTGAGGTACTGGAGACCAAATTTTCAGTAGTTGGGTGATCCAATGAGAGGCCAACCTACCAATCAGATTTGCAAAATGAGAGCCAATCCAACAGAACCTTGTGACGCAGCATCTATTCTGTCAAGAAAATCTGTTTGGATTGAGACAACTGACTTGCTACCAAAGGCATTACCCATGGAATGTGGCAAGTAGTATGATTTGATAGGAATGGTCCTGAGAAAAAGAGGTCCAAGATTTGAAAACAAGGAGCCTTGAACCAAGTGTCTCCTCGATGAGAAACATAAGACATCACCACAAAATTGTTATAGTGAAGCCTGACAATTTTCTCCTTAATAAGCCCAGACCATGAGGCATTGCCTTTTGAAGAACAAGAAGGACTAAAATATTGTGTAGGGAAGCCTCATCATCCATGCATAGAACCTGGAATTCCTCACTGTTGGAATATGCACCCCATGACATTTGTCGAGAAAAAGTGATAACATTACATGAATAAGGTACTTAAATACAATACCAAGATAGAGGGCACATTGACATAAGTGGAGAGTGTCACAAAATAAATATAGCCAAAGGCAATTGAGTGGGGTATAAAGACTGGAACAAGTGAGAAAAAATCAGACCACTGCTTAGATGGGCAAAGGAAGAAACCCTGGTAATAGAGTAATAGCTATAAGTGTGAGAGGAGGTAAGTATGTTTTGGAATATAATCAAGAAGAATCTCCATCTGCAAACAAGGCCAACAGGGTATAGATTCACCAAGACATGGCTTTCAGTCATACCTCTCTTGCAACTGTTGGAAAACGAAACAGGTATTCTTACTATTACAAACTAAGCATATTTGTCAAGTTTCCTAGGGATTTCTGTGTGAGTGGGATACTGAAACAGGTGTTGGAAACCATTATTGTCACACACTTCATGAATTATGGAAAGCTCCATGGAGAAGTGTTGTGTTTTGGACATGACAGTCTTGTGATGGCGCTTTTTTGCAATTGAAACTACATTGTAGGGTTATTGTCAAGATTCATAGTTTTCAGATAGTGTGAGATCAGGTATGGTGACACTGAAGGTGATGACTGGTAGGCTTCAAAATCATTTTAATATAACATACTTAGCCTCTGTATTCTACCACAAGTAATACATTTTAAGCCTTTAAAAATGCACTCAAATTTTGGAGTCTGTAAATTAAAGAATTTCTGAAATACATGTACTTTCTTAAAATTTTAATAAGTGAATTCATTCTACTACTAGCAAAAGTACCCGGCTTTGCTCGGGTTACTAGGTTGATATGTTCTAGATGACTATGTCAGTGTGTGTATCCTGAACCTATTTTAGCATACCACAAATGTACATAGTCTTCAACTCGGAGCTTCTTTTGGTTTATGCGAATGAATTGCAGTCTCTCTGTTTCAATTTTGGCATACATTACAACTTGCCCTTTACGATTTTAATGATGAGGGTGCAAAGCAGCTGTGAAACCTTGTAAGTATAGTGAATGTTGGTATAATATAAATAAAATAATAAATAAGTCTAAATAAAGAAATAGTGTGAGATAACCTAGCCTAGAGCCAAGTGCATAAAATTTATCATGAAGGTAAAAATATCGATCCAGTTTCCAACTTAAATCATTTCTGAATTAAGGTGTTTTCTGTTACATCATCGACATTTTTATTAAAAAACAAACCTCTTTAATCAATAGAGACTCTAAATTATGAAATCAACAACTATTTTTCCAGTTTTGTTTATAAATTTCATTTTATACTTTCAGTACATAGATTAACATCAATATTAGGTATACTTTTGTTGCTAAGTAACATGACATAAAAGCCATTGTTGGAATGCAATGTTACCAAAACACACTGACTTTTCTATATATTATAAGTTGTTAATCTAACTGATATACTACAGGGTATACTATGAGGTGATAGTACTTGCCTCGTCATTTTTGATGGGCTATACGTAGGGTGATTGTACTTGCCTCATCATTTTTGATGGGCTATAAGTCTATAATAAAAGAGCATGTCTGTCTGTGACTTCTATTTGTAATATAAGGAACCACTTCTTTTCTATGTGGTTTTTTGCTAGCTTGCCTCATTAAAAAGATGTACATGCTCGCATTCATGTGGATAAGTAATAATACCCAGGTGCGTCAGGGTCCATTTAGTATGAGTGCAAAATTTCTAGATTCTAGGTTCTTTCCTCTTCGAGTTATGGCAGTCACACACACACACACACTTTTATTATTATAGTTTCACTTCCAATAACAAAGTCATCAAAATTCAATAACCTCTTTCTTTATTTGTGGAAAGATTAACCTTTCAAAAGTAATTGATTATTGGTTTTTAAAAATTGGGATTTATCTACTTTTTATCCTAAGTGTTTTCCATGTGTCATTTACACCAAAATGTAAATATTTTACTTCTAAACAATTCAAAACTGCACTCTTTGTGAATAAATGTTGTTCATAAGTAAAAAATAATTATGATTTACTCAATGTGTGCATATTGAAATTTTTATACACAACAAAGCCACCAAGTTACTTTTTTAAAAAATAAAATAGACATGATACATCTATTATTAAATGGTATGTATTCCTGAACAATAATGGTGAAATGGACAGCAACTACCTAGTTAAGCTAGTTAAGTGTTGGAAGATCATCTAAAAAAGTAGTAAAGATAGAAAAAGCATGACATTTAAAGAAACTTCTATCTTTTGCTTTCAGCTCACAAAAAAATATGTATTCTTATTTTGATCTAAGATATTTCTCCACACACATACACAAACAATCTTCGAATGACTACAGTATTATTTGGTTTTTCTTCCTACACATTTAAAATTACAGCTTGACAGATAAATCATAAAATATTACAAATCTTGAATATTCTTTAAAAAAAAAATCAACTTAAATTATGTAAGTAAGCAGTCAATGTTATTTTTATTTTGGTTTATTAACATTCATGTTTTGAGCTTCTCAATTTAGTATTTTTAACTTAACATTTATTTATATATATACATACACACACTATTCATAAAAAGTCAGTTCTTACAGGATTTCATGTAATTTTAATTTATAAAGCTACTGTCAACACTTAAAAACCATCACACAGAAAGCTTGTGAGTAAAATACATTTCCTCAACCCACGTAACTTACATTGAAAGAAACAGAACAATGAACTTTAATATGATACTTACATAAACTGTATTTTTGAGTTTGCAATCTTTTTTAGAATTTCTGTTCCTGTACAATTTAAACAATTCCATTTCTGAATGAGATTGTATATATCAGCACAACTATCCTTCACTTTTCTTGGAGTTCCAGTAAGATTTCCAGTATAAGATGGAGATCTTCCAACTGTGTAAATGTAGTTCTATTAGTGTTTAATACTAAACCACCATAAATACAGAATACACTGTAGTTCTAAATCTTTAGAAATAATACATACACACACACTTATTAAATTGAATTTGATTTACACTGTGTAATTCTAGTTAATTGTTTTTAATACATCCGTGTGTTCATTAATAAGATTTTTTAAAATTATTTTCTTTAATAGCACAGTATGCAAATTTATGGCATAGTGTGGTTATATATTATAGCATATATACAAGTTCCAATAATTAACATACAGATTTACTTACTATTAATTTCAATCTTTGCTGATGTTTATAACTCATGTTAACTTAATATGATGATTATTCAAACTTAGTTCACCTTAAACTGTCATGATGATTTAAAAATATTTACTTTGCAACAAAAAGAACAATATAATGTTTTGCACCTATTAAATAAGAACATTTTTCTTTTCATTGTGAAATACGTATGTCTAAACATTTTCCTCACCTTGAACAACAGAAAAATCTAAATTGTTACCACTATAGCTTGAGGCATTTTTCTTGTGGGTTTTTTGTGACATTCTGCTTATATTTTTATATTCCAAGCAAAATCAGCACATTCACCTGAGAATGCAAAAAAAAATATATATATACTACTTCCATCAGGGAAAAGGTTTCAGCTTACTAAGGATAACAATGAGTACTTTCTATATCATAAACATTTCAGTCTTTAAAATTTTTTCACCATAGTATAACACTAACATTAACAGTATAACTTATAAGTTGTATTTTTGATGTTGTAGATATACCATTCCCGATATAAATTTTGTCATCTTAATATTTTCTTGTGATCTTCAGTAGCCTATGCTCTAGTACAAAAATTACACTGATGTTTTAAACGTGTCTTGGACATCTATAAAAATTCACAAGAACAAACTACACGAACACTTCATGAATGTGCAAAAACTCAAAAACTAAGAGCATATTTGACCCTATGGAGAAAAAACTTATTTATAGGTTTGAGATTATGGTCTTTCTCTACTGACATCTGTTGAACGAAAATATTATTATTATTAATTATGTTTTTTAAAATATAGAGCGTTTTTAGTCTGTTGGTTTTTAAGCGCATTAATATGTTAACACTGTGCCACCACGGAAATCGAACCTAGAATTATAAGTTCTTAAGCTTTCCGCTGTGTCACTGGCAGGGCTGACGAGAGGGGGGCAGCTACCCTGGGGCCCAGCAGTGGGAAATTGCAAAGCTCACTAAAAATGCATATTACTTAATGAGCTAAAATGGTTACTATTTTTTTCATGTATTCGTCAAGGAAATTGCCACCTAAGTTTCTTTTATGAAAAATCAGTAAAAGATAATAAATAGAATAAAAGGGTGGCCCGATGATATTACTGCCCCCGGGGTTTGGGCTGAATCTCAACGCCCATAGCCACTGGAGGTATCTCCAAAAAGGAAACCTATAACTTTTAAGGTGAAATTCAAATTTAAAATGTTTCAAGCTATGTGTTTCAATGTTACCATTACTAATCATTATTATGAAAAAATGTTACTTCAAATCAGATATTTTTTCTCATCCATAATTTCTTTATAACCAAATGTGATATGACATATAAAAATTACTCGGAAACTTTTAAAATCTTATACATCACTTTACAAAACCAATTTAAAATTGTTTTTAAACATATTTCTGCTAAGATGACTTCATTGATTCTGAGGTGTTAAGAAAAAATTGGGAAGTTTAAAGAACGATAAGGCTCCCTGGGCCAGATATATTTCCCCAAGGGTTTTGAAAGATGCTAAGGATTGGATATATGAGCCACTTGCTACTATTTTTTGTAAGCCCTTTGTTACGACAGCGGAAGTCACGTGACTCTGGTAACACGTGATGAGATTCTAGAAGGATCGGGGAACCTCAGAACGTTCCAGCGTTTGCTAGACGCCCTCTATTTTAGTATATAAGACGGCAGATAAATTGACAACGATATAATCGAGTCAAGCCGTAAGTAAAGTGCGTTGTTACTTCTCTGGTCGTTTGTTAATTACTCGTAAAAATTCTTTCCGAAAAACTTTAGCAATACAAGTCCTTCCTTAAATAAAACTAGTTTATTCTTTCTCAATACAACTTTGCAAAACACTTAATTTCCACAGTCACTTTAATAACTTAACAAACGCTATAATTCACTATAATTCACAACGAACGATTCACGCCTACTACCGCGCTTGCCTCAATTGTCCGTCTCTGTCTCTGTCTGGCCTTCAATTCCATTGTTTGGCGCACTTATATACAAGAATACCACACATCTAGTAAACACTCGACCATTCACGAACCTTCGAGAATATCATGACGTGTTACTAGCGTCAAGTGACTTCCGCTGTCGTAACACTGCCCCTTCCTTAGTATTGTTCGTCCCGAACAATAGCCACTTACATTAAACGAATAGAAAATTAACAATTACT